AGTTAGACCCATAAATTTCTACACTGTATCAGAGTCTACCACAGGATTGATGTGGACCCACACTACTTACCCCGTGACAAGGACCAGAAAAAAATTACTGGCCTGCACGTGAAGGAGGGTGTAAGAAATAAATCTCACATCGCCCGTGGACAATATCTTGGGCCAACTTATAAAAATTGTGGCAAACCTCTCTTGCTGAACTGATTTTGTAAGATGAGTTAGGCCCATAAATTTCTACACCCACCTTCCAAAAGTTCTAAAGTTGAGGAAGGAACTTTGTGAGGCACATGTATGACTCCTGGAAATTATTTGCGCTATTATGCACCCGTTTCATGGTTTTGCTTGTCTTATAATTTCACCCCTACTATGCAGTCATTGAGCGAATGCCCTTCTAGAGAGATTATTAGCGAGTACAACAGAAGTTCCTCCTGTTTGTGCCATCATTGGGGGAATTCTTGGACAGGTGGTGATGTGCTTCGAAACTATTTTAAATCTTGTAAGTACTTGGTAGAGCTTAATTGTTTCACCACTTTGACATTTTTGGATTTTTGCCGGGCGTCCATTATGGACACCCTGATGTAACACTTGATATACTTCTAGCATTTCTCTTTCTTGGAAAAGCTGATCTTTGTAGAGTTTATAACTGATCCTTAGGATGATTGTGCTTTTAACTCCTGCTTCCCCAGTCGAAACACTAATTTGTCAGGGCTAGTCTTATTTCTGGTAACAGGTACTTATTTAGTAGAGTAATATGATTCATCCCCAGCGGGAATGAAAACACAGTTTATGTGACTTTAAATGATAGGTTAAATTAAATGTGAAATTAAATGACTTAGTTAATTTTACCTATCATTTAATGTCATATTAACGTCACGTAGACTGTATTTTCATCTCCAGTGGAGATGAATAGCATTACTCTATTTAGCATCTTTTGACAATTAGCCATTATTTAAAAATCTTCACAGTTTCAAGAACATAGTGATGGGTGCAGTAGGTAATCAATTGCTAAAGGGTACTGTTATTCGAAGCATGATCAATTTGTGATCAATGCTCGATCAATTTGCTATACGCGCACATAAATAAATTTTTAATTCAGTATATGAATATTTGGATTTATTTTTTATAGTATATAAACAGAAGTACATCTTGTTTAAATATTTTGCAATGGTAGCTAACTTTTATCAGAGCTTCAAGTGGTTCCCAGCTGAGTCATGTGGTATTGCTGGAATGATGCTTCAGTGGGGGATGGAGTGGATGGTGCAGGGCTGTGCGAGGTACCTGGTGCGGGGGGTAGCTTTTTGCCGGCTAAATAAGAGTCCACTATAGGAGTGGTATTTCTTGTAGAAAACAGATGCAGCGTTCCGGGCTGCAGAGGGTGTTGTGGTGATTGGGAGTTGGGGACCATGCTGGAATATTAGTGGGATCGATGACGAGGTGGGGGGCTGTTGAAAATGGAAGATGGAGAAGGCAGTGGCTATGCACGAGGGTCTCCTGTTTGCGCAGCGGAGTGGCTTTCAGCTTGGTCGTTCGGAGTGTCGTTCGTTGTGCCTAGTTCTAAGTATGTTGTCTAGTTTTTCTTTTGCTCTGAATGGGGCGGTTTGGTCTGACATTGTTGAGTTATTCTTGAAGGTTTGTTTCATAAATGGAAAAAGAGGAGTCCACGAGTGTAATTCCACAAAATTTCATACATCTTGAGGTGTTACTAAAAATTAATTTCATTTACATTTATTTACTTAAAATGTGGAACGATAAAATTCTTTAATAACAAAATATTAGAACATCCATAAATTTGAATTTGAATTTGAATTTGAATTAATAAATCGTGTCTTTAAAAAATTTAAACATTGTCAATTAATAAACTCGATAATAATGTTATTAAACAAAACAAACTAATGAATTTAAAGGCATTAAACCTTATTATTTTCGTATGTTGAAATCCCTGGGCAATCCGTTGCATCATCCTGTCACAGCTCCAATCGATCCGAACTAGCCTGTAAAATTTTGTAAGAGTAAGTATTTTAAAAATACCCAATAAGATATGTGCAGTTTTCATACGCAATTATATAAAATAACATAGACAATTCATACTACATTTCTCTTTATGGGGTATATCGGTGACCAAGCGAGATACCTATCATTTCTCATTTTGAAGTCCCGAAAGATTTCACATTTCATTATAAAGAACCCAAAAGAGTTTACATTTTGTTAGGTCGAACCCAAAGGTCCACTGACAATTCATGCATAAATTACTGAACATAAAAGTATAAGGAAACGAACAACTTACACAAAAAGTATCTTACCTTGATTGATCAAACGAGCTTTTAATAATAAAAACATACTTAGAATTTACAGTTACTTTATATGAAAACTGCTGTGTAAAATTCTGTGGTAGTGAATTGTGGGACATTGACACGCTATTTATAGTAAAAAAAAAAAATAGTAGTTGAGTTATAGTATAATTGTAATGAAAAATCGTATATATCCAATTTGATAAAAATTAAATTTCTAGTAAACCGATCACAAGGTGACGTGTACAAAATACTTATCACAACAAAAAGGTGGTTTTAATCATAATACGTGATAGTGAGGGCAACTTGACTTTAAATAGAATTCTAAAAAAAAAATAAGAATATAATAATTATTCCACGTCCATTCACGTGGCTATCGTCATCTCAATTTATTTTAAAAAAATAAATAAACTACAATTTTTTTGAATTTCAATATCTTGAGACTAACGTATCCGAATTAACTTTTTCTCAAGCATAATTTACATGATTAATTACGAGCTATCCAACAAAACCCAAATTGATATACTTTTAGTCGTTTTAACAATATTTAAAAATTTAGCCCAAAATTGAAGTTAATACATATATCACTTTAATCCCTCAACTTTCAAAATAATAAAATATAATATATAGAACAAATAAATTTTTATTCTAAAATTTTCGGGGGTGTTACAATGAGCTCGTGGCTTATGCATGTTTGTTAGATAAGTCAGTCCGTTAGCTTGCATTCTGTCCGCGCTGCTGGGCGATATATCTCAATGAGAACTTTGTTTTGGCTCAAAGGAAAAATAAAGCAAAAATTCAGAAACTTCATCAATGATCAGATATTGAGGTTTTATAATATCAAAGAATTATAATAAGGCGGCATAATTCGTCAAGGTTGAATTGTTCCATTATAATTGAGATCCTGTATGATTTCTCCAACCCCACCACGTACGACACTAATGATTAACCAACAAAAAGAATAAGAAACTGAGACCCCACAATGGAAAAGTCATCATAAGTTGGAGCCAAAAGAAACCAAGCACTAATAAAACAGCTGAAGAGCCCTTCGAAAACCCAAACAAGAACTTTTTCGAGTGTTGAACAGGCTTAGATATCAATCTTTCCTCTGTTGGAAAAATCTAATTATGTCTTCTGTTCAACGTAGAAGGTCTTTTAATGGATTTTGGAAGTTGAAGAACAGAGATTTGGCTGCTGAGGAAATAATCAGAGAGCGAAGGGTGGCGATAATGAATGGTAAACTTAAAGGAAGACGGCGGCTTTTTAAGGCAGTGGAGAGGGAAACTGAGTTGGGATTGGATTGGAATCGTTTGAACATGCTTCGTGAAAGAGAAGTGAATGATGAAAACTTGAAGAAAAAAGAAGATTTTGGGACTTTATTTCGTCCTTCTTGTTCTTTTTCGGGTTCTTCTTTGTCAGATGAGAAGGTGGAGATTAGTGAGAGGGTGGTAGTGGAAGGGGAGAAGAAGGTGGAGGTGAGCGTGGCGGAGAAGGGAGGAGCAAGTAGAAATTTAAGCGTGGGTGGTGGTCAAAGGTTCATGCTTGCATTAGCTTGGTTTGCTATTATAGCAATGCTATTTACTATTGGTCTAATCATCTCAATGAGTTGCAGTGGTATATATGTGCTTGAGAAAGAAGCAATTCTTGTTCCAACATGAAAACTCTCTCTCTCTCTCTCTCTCTCTCTCTCTCTCTCTCTCTCACGCACAGTATGAGTTTTTTTTAAGTTGCAGTGGTATATATGTGCTTGAGAAAGAAGCAATTCTTGTTCCAACATGAAAACTCTCTCTCTCTCTCTCTCTCTCTCTCTCTCTCTCTCTCTCTCACGCACAGTATGAGTTTTTTTTATTTCCTTCGACCATGGTATTATGATTGATAATCAAAGTTCAATTTGGTGGGTTTTCATAGATGAGTGAAAATTTTATATAATATTTCACCATTTTAATGTTTTTCGAAAAGAGTTGTGATGCATTCATTGTTTTTGAGTCGCGAGACCTTGTTCACTTGCTAATTCTGCATAAATTACTTGTAGTGAAATACCGATAAATTAATGTTTGATATGGTCGGGCTAAATACAAAAATTTCTTGATCCTGTGATCTCAATCCCGACACGAGTGTGTACTGAATTAATAATCTTGCTAAATGTATAAGATAAAGTGTTTTTTAAATCCTTTACGATCCAACAAAAATACAAAATAATAATTTGCTAGATACCTAAAATTTTCTAATTCATATTAATGGACTTACGCCATGTTTGGCTCCTATTAAAATTATAATTCATTTTTCTCTCTTCTAATCAAACACACATTTTCTAATAAAATAATATTACGCGTAAATTAAAAACTTTTTTTTCTTTTTTAACCAAACATTCTTAAAAAATCTCTCTCTCTCTCTCACACGCACAGTATGAGTTTTTTTTTTTTTTTCCTCAACCATGGTATTATGATTGATAATCAAAGTTTAATTTGGTGGGTTTTCATAGATGAGTGAAAATTTTATATAATATTTCACCATTTTAATGTTTTTCGCAAAGAGTTGTGATGCATTCATTGTTTTTGAGTTGCGAGACCTTGTTCACTTGCTAATTCTGCATAAATTACTTGTAGTGAAATACCGATAAATTAATGTTTGATATAGTTGGGCTAAATACAAAAATTTCTTGATCCTGTGATCTCAATCCCGACACGAGTGTGTACTGAATTAATAATCTTGCTAAATGTATAAGATAGAGTGTCTTTTAAATCCTTTACGATCCAACAAAAATACAAAATAATAATTTGCTAGATACCTAAAATTTATAATTCATATTAATGGACTTACGCCATGTTTGGCTTCTATTAAAATTATAATTCATTTTTCTCTCTCTTCTAATCAAACACACATTTATAATAAAATAATATTATACATAAATTTAAAACTTTTTTTTTTCTTTTTTAACCACACATTCTTAAAAAAAAAAAAAATACTATTCCAAACTTTAAAATGGCAAATAATGGGAGCCAAACGGAGGGCTAAGTTGGATTTTTTTATTTTTTATTTACTTAGAACTCAATCTCATTTCTGATTTTTTTTTTTTTTTTTTGCAATGCATATACACTCACATGGTATTTTTGTTTCATTTTATAGAAAGAAATTATGTAAGATTACGATGTTTGAAAATCTTTTTTGGAGAAACCAAATTTAAACCACGATCATCCTCAGTAAGCGTAATCAATACCGGGCTCCACGTAATATTACTCAATTATTTTTTTATCATTAAATTAATAACCTCTTTAAAATAATATTTTTTTCTAGTCACAACATTATTATTTAATAGTACTGCACCTAGGAAACAAAGCATCGATTGAGTCATAATACAATGGTTTAATATCAAGCACGATATTTTGACGTGTACCCACAAATTTTTACTGAACAAGATTGAAACTAAGGATCTATTTGATATGACTTTAAAAATTCAAAAATTGATTATGAAACTACTTTTGAATCTATTTGAATAAATTTTTGAAATTATCTGACTAGAAGAAGAAGCCCAAACCTGCCAAATGGGCCCTAACCATGATTAAAGGCCATATATGTGTAAAAGATTTGTCACTCCTGTACAATCCATGTCAACTGGAAATGAAAATTTTGGCTTTGCTGCTGCTACATGATCAGTAATCATCAATTCAAGTACAGAAGTTTGAAATACCTCATAATATGCAAAGAACAACCAAAAAGCGCAGTTTATAAATGGAAATCAAAATAGATTGATTATCATAAGAAGGTTCTACCCAACAAATATACTATCAAATAACTTAAAATCCAAGCCGTAAAAATGACGAGCCATTTTCTCGAATAAGATTGTGAAAACACAAAAGATGATATGAATGAAAGAAAATAAAATGCAATCTACTTCTTGGTATCAGCATTGGCTGCAGGAGCAGACTTTGCTGGTGAATTGAGCTCTTCCCAAGCTTCAATCCAAGTAAGCATGGCATCCGCAAGCTTTTGGAAGTAGGGGTCAACTGGGCTGAGCTTCTCCTTGACCATCTTGGATAGCTCAATGTAGCATTTTTGCACAGTTGTGGATTCTTTAGAGAAGGTTACAGACTGGAAGAAAGGAATAATTTCCTCTTGCCAGTATATACCCTTGTATTCCTTCTTCAGATTGACAAATGGGTTGCTAGCCTTGCTGTGCCAGATATACGGCAGCCCAGTCTTCACTCCAAGACTTAGATGATCACAGATTACCTATGAGAATGCCAAAATTAAGTTTTTCAAAACTCTCGGGTAAGGTGGGTCGTACTGTTCTGAATCCAGTCAGCACAGAGTTCAGAAAATGTTCTGCCGATATGAAAACAAGAAGTATATATAAGAGGGGTCTGTGGAGTAGTTTACCTTAGCACACCAGCCGGCCCACATATCATCATATCTACCGATGGGTTGACCATCGCCCATGAGTCCAAAATACATAGCAGGGCCAATAAGTTCTCTGTCGAATCCAAGGTTCATTCCACACATAGGAAAGATAGTGCCTTTGGGGATGGTCATAACAGCATCCACATACCTGTGTTTAGTATATACACATCAAGTAAGAATTGAGGAATGAGGTAGAAGACAAAATAATCAATTAGTTCAAGAGCTAAACTAAGATTTGTCAAGAATGAACAATAATAAGTACACGAAACACTGTTCGTTGTCAGGTTGAGTAACAAACCTGGTGTTGCGCTCGCGAGGTTTGACAAGCTGGGTCGGGGCATCATAGTCAGGGATATTGAGCCAAAGCCCATGAGAGATAGCAGTTGGCACTCCTTCCCTCATGCTAAATGGATAGCCACGGACAAAGTCAGCCCCTTCTCTATATGGATCATACAGTGTGTTGAAGAAGAAGGGCGTTGATGGCGTTAAAAGATTATGTATGTGCTGTTGCAATGCATTGATATCTTTCCCAGTTGGATCCTTGGCCACCTATTTCCATTTCAAAATTTCGCAATGCCAAGAGTAAGAAAACTATTACTTTAAGTATATCGTACCCAAATTACAATGAAGACATGAAAGAATGCTCATTGAAGGTAAAGGAACATACGAGATGTTTGATGCCCTAAACCCCACACGACTAATATAATAAGAGATATAATCAAATATATAAGATGTTCGTCTGTTGTCTTGTTCTAGTCACATTTCCTCGACTAACATAGGTTTTTCCGGTATCTATTATTGTCACTTACCAATTCAGTAACATGACATTTTCTTCAAAGTCGAACTTTTTTTTTTCTTTGAAGAACACAATGGGACAAATGAAAGTGAGGAGTAACTGTTTGGCGAGTCTTTATTTTGACATAAAATTTCTTTAATGCCTTCAAAATTATACTCACAAATATGATAAATTATTATCTTATGACTTGTCTATTCTATGGTAGGTGAACTGGCACTAGTTAGTGAAAGCGGTTTGCATCAATTGGAAAAAGCTAGTTGTTGGTGACCGAACTGAAAATTCACCTCGGTCCCACTTCAAAAGATCAAAAATAGTATTATAATAACACAAGTTAAGGTCGGATCATGAGTTCTTCCAACAAGCTCGGCCATGCCCTCGCTGTTATCCGATAACACCATCATTACTCTTTGAAAATGTGTTATATTGGTGATGCCATCACCTCCTATACGATCGATCATGATCAGACAAGTGTCATCTCTGACATCAGCACTTCCTACGCCACTAATTATAAGAAAGTAATAATTGTCTACATAGCAAGTATTCATGCCATAGGTAACAACTATACCCTAGGTGAAATGATAACTTGAACCGTCGACCTTAATAGTCGATAGAATCTCTTCAACAAGGCAACAGTACACATATCAAGGTTGACACCGTAGTTTGATGCGACGAAGGGCAACTCACTCTTGGGTAAAGGCTTATAAATAAAGATATTTGTCCTTCACTCTAGGGCAAACTAAGTCGGTACATTCCAACCTTCTCTTGAAAATCTAAGAGTTATTCCTTTAAATACTCCTAAATTGATCTAAACTTGCCATATCATCTTTATTCATAAACACTAAACAAGAAAATCAAGTGGTACCACTCATTTGGATTTTTACAATTTTCAAATGATCAAAGATAATACGCTAGTCCATTTTTTATTAAAGGTGTAAAGTGAACCAATGTGGTTCTGCCCAACCCCAAAATTATTGTGGACCATATCCGGTCGAGGATGCCTAGATGCCTCGACCATAAGCTTCCAACTTTGTTTAATAGTCAAGTGAACCAAAACATTTACTAGGATTAAAGTGCCACAAAAGATAAAGATTGGTACCACGTAATTTCAATAACAGTCAAAAACTGGGGACCTCCGCTCCAAATTTTTCCCAATTATCTTGTCCCCACTGGACAAAAAAATCAACAGATCTGTTTTTCATTTGAATAGAATCTCCTGTCTAGTGGGGCCCAAATAATGAAGCTCCCAATAGGCAGTGGGTCCTTTTCAATCATACACACTATAAGTCTACGTGTCAAGATCTTGCGATCATGATACACAATCTTTCATTACACCGAAAAGTACTGAATCATAAACTCTCTCTAACAAAGATTTCTTCCCAGCATATTCTAATGGCAGGTCGACTTTCCAAATCCAGCCCAGACTCACCGAGTCAACTCACACACAGAAACATACACACACACACACATATATATAGAGAGAGAGAGAGAGATGGCCGATGGAGGTAGTGAACTTACAAAACAGTCGTCATCAATGGTGTAGATGTACTTCTTCTTTGAAACAATGAATCCGAAGCATCTGCAAGCAGAATCCTTGAAGGATATGCAGGAGGCCTTGGGGCCGAGAATCCTGTTAATATCATTCCGATTATAGAGTTCATAATCGAATCCTTCGGGGACCTTGATGATTTTGGTGGGATCTCCATCTTGGACTATAATCAAATGATATGGCTGAAAAAATGGGCGCCACATTTCGAGGAAATCCAGGTTCCTTATCGTCGGAATCACTATATCCAACTCATCCTTGAGGGGCGGCGCCACCGGTGTCACTGGCGTTGACATTTTCACTCCCTTTGTGTATGTATAGATATAGATATGAAGTGGAAAATTGGTGGTGTGTGAAGGCGAATATATAGGGGTTGGGCGCGTGTAATATGGTAACGAGGAAGAAGTGAGGTAACATGTTGGTGCCAGCCAGACAGCCCACTGAGATCTACATTTTTTAATATTATCCAACGTTTGAACTTTTTTTCATTATAAGAAGATTATAAGTAATTTTCAGTAAAGTTCAAATATAGGCTTAGATTTCATGTCTTGATCGAAAATTCTTTATATAACGATGTTTAGGTTTTACAAATGGTAGCTTATTTGTTATAAAAAGTTGTAAAATTTCATCACTTGCCCATGTACCAAAACTTAGGTTATAAATGTTTTGAGTTAAAATTTCTTTAAAAGGACAAAAAAAGGGAAAAGTAGGTCATAACGGAATTTGGGCTGAACCCAACCTATGGATTGAGCTACTACTCCTGCAAGCCCAATTGGACCCAGAACAGGACTTCATATGCTTCTCTAGCCTTTTTTTTTCCCCACGAGTCAATTCAAACTTGAAGAATTGCATGATTTTGTTAAAAGTTAATAAAAATTGGTGAATCCCATAAAAGTGTGATGAAATTGTTGGAATTGCTTAAGTATATGAAAAAGTGACTTTTGTGTCAACTTCGGTCAAATATTCGAATTTGATTTGATAGTCAAATTATGAAAACAAATAGAGTAACTTGCTCTACTCGTCGAGTATCGTTGTGGTATATTTAGAATGTCAAATCCAATTCCTGATGAATGAAAAAATTGCGGTAAAAAATTGAAAATGAAAGAGAGGAAAAACTGATTGAAAACTATCCAACTTCACCGCCGCCTAGCACTCAATTGGAGAAAACCGCGACACTGTAGCAACACACAGGCGACATGCGAGTGACAATAAAAACCGTGACACTTGACAAATGTTGCTGAATTTTGAAGCATGGCTTTTCATTCAAACCTGTCATCCTCTATAAATAAGACCAATGGAATGTTGATTACTTCATTTCAATCATAGCATAATATAACAATTCATATTTTTATAGCCGACATTCTGTATAAAAATCTGTTTTTTATTTCATTCAAAATCAGTATAAAAGCCATATTTTTTTTGTTCGTTGCTTTTGTGTTTTGGAGTGCTACAAACACAAGAAGTTAGTCATTGTATCTTGTGAGTTGATTGTTATCATTCGTATGCACCGTTGCGGGACAAAATCGATTTAAGGACAAAGAGTTCAACTCTTGTCTCAACTTTGTATCCATTTCTCTTGGTGTTACTTTATACTATTCATTGGCTTTTTCTTTGGTGTTTTATAACTCATTTCATTGCCTTTACTCTGTCCATTTTTGGTAAGGTTGGTAAGTTCAATTTTGGTTTTAAAGTCATCACTCAAATCATAAGTCGATTTTTGGAGTGATAACTTTATATTTGATTTTTATTTGGTTAAACGGACTTTGTTTCGGTTTAACTTCTTCTACTCCTTCTAGAATCTTGATTTTGTTGGTTTATCTTCCGTTTTGTGTAAACAGAAATGAATATGGCTAACAATACCAATGCTTCTTCGAATGATACATCGAATATGGAAATTTCGACAGGAATTCTACCTAACTTGGTTCCTACCATTGTGATTTCTCTAGTTCCGATTGCTCTTTCCGCCGTTCATACAAATTTCGTTCCACATAGAGAGAAATCAGAGAAGTTTAGTGGGGTTGACTTCAAGATATGTCAACAAAATATGTTGTTCTATCTCATAACCCTAAACTTGACAAAATTCTTGAAGAAAGATGCTCTCGTCGTACATGGGAAATATATTAGGGCATCGTGATAGCATTGGATGCTTGGAAACATTCGGACTTTTTATACAAGAATTACATACTGAATGTGTTGGACAACACATTGTATAATGTGTATAGTTTCATAAAGTCTGCAAAGAAACTATGGAAATCTTTGGAGAAGAAATACAAAATTGAAGACGCTGGAACCAAGAAATTTATCGTGAAAAAATTCTTGGATTACAAAATGGTAAATTCAAAGACGGTCATCAGTCAAGTACAAGAATTGCAGGTAATTCTCCATGACATTCACGCAGAGAACATATCTCTAAGTGAATCATTTCAAGTGACTGCAATTATCGAGAAACTTCCACCCATGTGAAAAGATTTTAAGAATTATCTCAACCATAAGTACAAGGAGAAGAATATTGAAAAATCCATTATCCGATTGAAAATTGAAGAAGATAATAGAACTTCGGACAAGCGTGTGTAGAGTCACATACCACAAGCTAAGGCTAATGTGGTGGAATCGAATTATAAAAACAAGAAAAAAAGTATTTCGTCGAACCCTCCAAGAAGAATGCTAAGAAGTTCAAGGCAATTGCTATAATTGTGGAAAGACCATACATATCTCTATTGATTTTCGTAAACTTAAGAAGCAAGCCCAAGCGAATATCACCGAATCTGATGCAATATCTGATGGTATATCAGATATAAATTTGTCGACTGTCATTTCAAAATGCAACAATGCGGGAAATCACATGGAATGATGGGTGGATACGGGGTGTTACCTATCATATTTGTACCGGCAAGGCATGTTCTCATCCACACCATAACCAACTATGTGAAGCAGTTCATGGAAAACTCTTCAAGTTCAAAAGTGGAAGGACAAGGGAAAATAGTTTTGAAGATGACATCATGCAAGAAACTTAGCCTTAACAACGCTCTTCGTATGCTGGATATTCGCAAGAACTTAGTGTCGGGTTCTTTGTTAAGCAAGACTTTTTTAAAATTAGTCATTGTATCTGATAAGTTTATACTTACTAAAAATAAAATGTATGTAGACAAAAGCTATTTAAAAGATGTATTATTGAAAATGAATGTCCTTATCATTGTACCTAACAACTCAAGGAATAAAAATGTGCAAATTAATGAATTTAAATTTACTACCAAGTATGTATTTTAATACAAATGAAAAATGCAAAATTTGTGTAGATGATTAAGTTAGCAAAGCGTCATTTCATTCAGTTGAACGAAGCACAACTCCATTAGAATTTATTTAGATAGATACATGTGATTTAAAGTTTGTCCAAACAAAATGTGGTAAAAAGTATTTCATTACGTTCATAGATGATTGTACAATATACTGTTATGTATATTTGTTGAAAAACAAATATGAAGATTTGGAAGTATTTAAGCCCTATAAAACTGAAATTGAAAATCAACTTGGTAAACGAATAAGTACAATTTGTAATGATTGAGGTGGAAAATATGTCGCACCGTTTGAAAATTTTTGTTCAAAATCTGGAATTATTCATCAAACAACAACACCATACTCACATCAATCTAACGGTATTGTTGAACGCAAAAGCTGAACACTTAAGGAAATGATGAAAGCATGATTTTCGTGTTCAATTGTTTGGAGACTACGAGATCAAAATCATGGAGAAAATAATTGGTATAACCATCATAACATGTATAAATCATGAATTCTTATTCAATTTGAAGGTGGCTTGAACATGCCGAAAGAAGTCCAGAGGAGAAGATGAGGAAGACAACATCGCTGAGGTGTAGGTGTAGGTAGAGGTGGTGTTGAACATATGGCTAAGATTGATGAAAAATTCGGGTTGATGTTGATCGGATTGCTCAGATTTAGCATGGTAAATTTCTTTGCCATCGACGGGGCTAGAAGGTCGGGCTCCTCCTATTGGTTTTCTTCTGGTTTAACCCGAGTCGGTACGGTGGATTGAGAATTTGTGTAGAGAGAGATTATGCTGTTTGGAGCTGGGTATGGTGTTAGTGGGCTTAATTATATTTTTAAGAGTTAATTATATTTTTAACACCTGAATAAAGAAAAAAAAATTAAATAAAATGTGGTTTTTGAAATTGAAATTTAAAAAGAAAGGATTTAAGTTAATTTTCTCCAAAAACTAAACAAGATTGTTGTGCTTATAGGGCCCAATATGGCTAGTACATGTTGGGCCACATGCCCGTATTTTAATCAAGGGCCTGTACAACATCATCAAGGTTGACTGTGTTCCAAAATTTATGAAATCATTTATTCTTTTCTTTTCAAGGAGAGCTTCACATAATCACATCATTGAAGAAAATAAATTGATTCTCTTCTTGCATCTATGTATGGGCCTCAATAACATTTGATTCCTTTGTTAGTTGTCCATATTGGCCCGTAATATTCGAAATGGGGCTCCACATATCTTATCATATGCATGATGGCCTATCAAATAATTGTACCATAATTTGTCGGGCTTTAGTCCAACAAATTTGACATTTGTACTTTTGTAAAGCTGTATACTTAAAGAGAAAAATTCATGGTTCAGGGATTTACTTTTAGGAAATCAAAAATCAGGTTCCAATATTTAAAATTGTAAAAATCAGGTTTTTTTTAAATTAATTAATTATATTTCACAAT